AAAAGAATTTGGTAGAAAAATTCAATGCCAGATTACGTGGTGTTAATCAACTTGTTTCATTAATGCCAGCATTAAAATCACCATCAGCTCGATCTGATATATTTATGTTTTTTGGTATTGATTGTACTCATATAACATGTTCACAAGTACGACCGTCCATTGTTGCTGTTGTTGGATTAAAAGATTCTACAAATACACAATATGCTGCTCGTGTTTTACAACAATTTCCACAAAAATGAAAAATCGCATTTGCAATCATAAATGATCTTCATAAATATGTTGGTGAATTAATACGTGTATTTTCAAATCATAATTCATGTTTACCAAATAAACTTGTTTTTTATTAAGTTGGTCTTGATGATGGATCATTTGAAAAAGTGCTTGATAACGAATTACGAGCTATTCAACGAGCATGTCAAGGTAAATACGATTGTTCAAAGGCCGAATCAAATAAAAAAATTCTTTTTTTCTATAGAATTATATGGTCATAATCAATTACCTCAAATTTGTTTTGTTGTTGTTAAAAAACGTCATCATACACGTTTTTTTACATGGAATAAACAATCTAATCAAGCGAATAATATTCAACCAGGTTAAATGGATTTTATTTTATTTTTTTGTTTGAATATTTGTTTTTGTTGATTGTAGGAACAGTTATTGATACTGATATGGTTTCACTAAATGGTTTTGAGTTTTATCTTAATTCTGATGCAACTATTCAAGGTACATCACGACCAATGCTTTATCAAGTATTATATGATGAAATTGGTTTTACATCAGATGATATTCAACAATTAACGTAAGAATTTTGATTTGAAAATAAAGAAGAAAGAAGTTATTATGTTTTTGTTTTGAAATTTGAATAGATATTATTTATGTCATATTGATGTTCGATGTACAAAAGCTATATATGTTCCAGCTCCAGTTCATTATGCAACACTTCATGTTTCGCATCATCTTAAACTTCATTATAAAAGTCAAATGGTAAAAGACATGAATGAAATAAATCATGTATTAGAACATACATGTTTAAGTACTGAAAAACAAAGTCAATTGTATTCCAAATTCAAGACTACGAACAATAGTGATATGGCAGTTCGAAACAGATATTTCCATGAACCTTGTCATTAGGACAAAGGAAAAAAACATCATTAATATCATTTGTTTTCGTCCAACGATCACTAATGTTTGACATGATCATTCATTGGTTGTATCTTTTCTTCGGACATATTTTTTATTCTTTTTGTTAAATTAATTATACATAAACCACATGTAATGAAATGTAATTTTTTTCATATATGTCAAAAGAAAGAGAAAAAGATTAAATCCATGTTATAAATTATCAAATAAATAGCATTAGTTTTTATCCATTTTCTATCATACGTACGTCGACAGAAGATTACGCTTAGCTTAGTACTGTTCGACGCTGCCAAATTCCTCTGTATTATGTTCTATATACATGTATTTCTTTTTAATTCATTTGTTCCTCTTGGATGGGGGTGGACGTCATCTGTTCTTTACATCCACACCCACACTCTTTTGAGATTTTTCATACCTCCCTGAAGTTCACCTTATGCATAAACTCCTAACTCAAAAACGATTAATCACCTGGCACAGCTCCCTCGTAAGTGAAAATAAAAGAAGCTTGCCATGAAATTTTTGATCAGAAAAGAAAGGTGAACCAAACAGATTGACATATTGGTGAGTTTCGATGGATTTTTCAATTCTTGAGATGGGTGTTTTTTCAGATTAATCGTAGATTACTAAAAAAAGCTTAGTGACTTTTGCTTGATTATCGTAGATTCTGATTTATTTAGTAGATTAAAGTTTTCATATATTCTGATAAATCTGTTTGGCCATCAATTTAGTCTTCAACCGAATAGGACTAGAACCTATTTTGTTTCCTTTGTTAATATATTATTAGATAAGATAACATTTATACTTTTTGTTCGTTTGATTTTTGAGAAAATAAAGTATTTTAGAAAATATTCCTTTATGCCTTCCTTTTGCTTCTTGTTCACTACCACTCTTAACATGCTGGTTCACAATGACTGTAGTGTGTCCTCTGAATGCAAATGAGCATTCATTTAGTTGTTCAACAAGATTTGCTTGATTGATTAACTGTGTATAAGTATTACTGAGTATACAAGTAATTAATCGTTGAAAACTAATCAGTCATTTTGAAGGTAGAATTATACTAAACAAAATTCATATTTCATGAATAATAACGTTTTTTTTTTAAGAGACATCTCGTGAGAAAACCAAGAATGTTTAGATATCGGAAAACATGTGGATTAGTAGATTCTAAATGTGAGTGTACAGGAAGCTAGGCCTAAAATGTACCATGTATGAATCTAAAACATTATAGTCTAAAGATTTATCTCCCATCTGCTATGGCAAACTGATCCGAAACACCCTCAACAAGCTTGTTAGCACAGCCCCTTTGGGGCTGAAATGTGGAACTCACATATCTTCTTTAATTTATTATACTAATGACAAAATACAGTGTTTAAGGTCCAGCCCCCACCCAAAAAAAGTTGATTTTTGTCAAATTTATCGATTTTTTTTTAATTAGCGCATGTGATAGAACATCGCGTCCGCTATCGAATGCACTATAGTTTATTTTGTTTGCGATGTATTTTAACGGTTTTTCAAAAGTTTTTCTGAGAACCACTATTCAAGCAAAATAACTTCTTTCGAAAAATTCAATTTTCCATTGAGTATTTCAATTTGTAATGGTAAAATATATTTCTTTCTATCGTATAGAATGTTATCTTGACTTTGATTATGTCACGTAGCGATAGTTACTTTATTATCATATCATTCGCTAATCACATGTTATTTCCTAAGTTTTGGTTTTTTTAGGTCACTTAGATGAACCTGCTAATAAATTTTTTTCGTGATATCTTCAGTCATAATGAGTTCAGGGTGTCTTTTATTATTTAAGATGATAGAAAAACACTATTACTGAGTCAAAAGCCATAAAACACACTTGTAAAAAGTATTTTGCGTTTTTCTCCAAATCAGATTGTTTGTTTTTACGTTTTCGTGCATCCCAAATTTCTCCGTCATTTTGAAAGCTAGAAAGTTCGGGTTTGTTTTAAATCATAGCTAAGGTCTGACAATACAACTTAACAAAACCCGATTTTTTAATTTCATGATTGATGTCACATGGAGAGAAGATGTTTGAGAACTTTCACCCTAACAATTTCATACCATGACGTAGAAATTCTTTGAAAACTAAACTACAGACAAATTAAAAAATCGGGCTTTGTTAAGTTGTAGTGTCAGACCTTAGCTGTGGTCTAAAACAAACCCGAGCTTTCTGGCTTCTAGAATGGCGAAGAAATCTGGGATGTACGAAAACCCAGTTTTTAAGCATTAACCTTAGGTTATTTCTTGAAAGGCTCAAGATTTCAAGCTGAAATTTTCACCACGAGGTGCCAAGCTCAAGACACATCTACTCTGAAAGTTTCGTTAAAATCGGATGTTCTACGGCAAAAATAGAATTTTGGGTGGGGCTGGGCCTTAAATTCTTTAAAAGACTATGGTTGTTTTCTAATGGTAATCGATTGTCAGCAAATGCTGCCATCTTTATTTCTATACTTCGAATAAAATTTTTTAGTTTTTTTTCTGGAGTTGCTATGGTCTGTAATGGGGTGGGGGGAGTCGCCAACCTCGAACTGAAAACTTACTCTCACTATTTTCTTCGAAAACATACGTGAGTTTCACAAAAAATAAGCTAGTATTGAATGAAGTGAAAGCTATTATACGACACCATAGTAAACAGAAGTACGGCAAGCAATGCCTGGAAGTATTGATCGATAAAAACAATCTTTTCTTTTCATAGAAAAAGAAATCAAGGAAATTTTTCAGCTGTAAAATTGTTTGTTTTTCAAGAGAAGATGAGTTGATCGACTTCTTTTCTATTGCAGTTTTCATCATTAAATACCAGTAATAAAAAATAACTAGAAGACAGAGTTTCTATGTTATGGTGTGGGTGTGAATTACAACAAGGAACCCACACACCCTCCATCGAAATTCAGTAAAGAAAAATTTTTAACAGCTGCTAAATAAAGGGTGTTCCATAATAACTGAGGATAATTTTTTATTCGTATTTTTCATAGTTTTACTCGACGTAGAAGGCTGAAATTTTTATCACATATACATCTGATCCAGATTTTTATTGCTGAAAGTTTCAGCTCTCTAGCTATAACTAGTGGTAAAATATATCGGTAAAACTGAATACATAAATTTTTGTAATCGATTTCGCAGGATACTTCCATGCGTAGCTAACCAAAAACTCACAAAGTATCCAAAAATTCTCTTCCGCATAAGACTTTGTAGAGCTTTTTTCGCTGATCCTTTTCATAAAAATTTTTTTTGAATTTCGTTGAGAAATGACGATGTTATGATCAGAATATTTATCATAAAAACGGAAGATGTCAGATTTTTTTTGATAGAAATATCGTATACAATGTTCAATCGTGATTTATTCATTCTATTCGTCCGTATCAGAGAAACCGTCCATAGGGTTTTGTAGAGCAAACTTTTCTCTACCAAAGCTACTATGTCACATTTCTTCAAAAAATAGCCATTCTGAGATATATGAATCGATTTTTCCTTACATTTTAAGCTATTTTACAGTGTTTTATTTTTTAACCATAGCATTGTCATTTCTGAATGAAATTCGAAAAGTTTTTTTACCAAAATGACCAGCGAAAAAAGCTCTACAAAGTCTGATACGAAAGAAAATTTTTTTGATACTTTGTGATTTGTTGGTTGACTACCCTTAGAACTACTTTACAATATTTTCGAAGTAAACATATATGCAGAAATCGATTACGAAAATTGATGTATTCAGTTTTGTCGATGTATTTTACCACTAGTTATAGCTAGAGAGCTGAAACTTTCAGCAATAAAAGATCTGGATCAGATTTATATGTGATAAAAATTTCAGCCTTCTACGTCGAGTAAAACTATGAAAAATACGAATAAAAAATTATCCTCAGTTATTATGGGACACCCTTTAACAAACTCTTCGAGAATTATGCGGCTGGCATGTATCTTTTAGAGGTGTATGACTGACTTCTTTAAATCTTAGGCATTATTATTCTAGTATTATTTTTTTACATTGTGCATCAAATAAATTAATTTTTTTCATTTCCTGTTGTGCAATCATTTTAATTGTAGAAAGAAGCCAACTGTTATATTCAAGTTGTTATAGCGAATCAGGAAATGGCTACATGCGATCTTCATGAGCAGTTCTATTAGTCAAAATTTCGTTCTTTTTTCACTGCTTCGCGTCTTTTTTTTGTTTTCTTGAAAATATTTCGCAACATTCGTATCTCAAATGAAGGCGGATTTATATTAGTTCATTTTTTCTCATAGCAACCTAGGATATTTTCACAATCTGATCTAATTAGAAGGAGTTATTGTGGGATGTAGAGGCAAGTGTGTTTTCGTGGATTGACGAAATGTTTTTCTGCTGGGGATTTACCAGAAAAGTAGCAGTAGAGAATGAGTACGAGGTAGCACTCGTCTATATTCGCTCGCTCCTCTTAGTTTATGAACTTATATGTGCAACCTTCCAGTATTCAACGTCACATAACTAAGCAATCTACAAATGTCGAAAACAAATGATAAATTTTATTAGTGAATGCTTCAAATCTTGTATGATACTAATAATCAAAATGTCGATCGTTATTCAATACTTAAACGGGTCTATCACCAATAATTGTTGCTCTCTCCATGCGTCGACAATTAGGCCAATAGTCTCCAACAGCATAATGTTGAGTTGATCTATTATCCCAGAATGCAACATCATTTTCTTTCCAATGCCATCGAACTGTATATTCTGGTTGATTTACCAAGCTGAATAAATAATTTAATAATATGTCACTCTCAATATCACTCAAACCAAGAATTCGTGTTGTAAAAGTAGTATTGACAAACAATAATTTGCGTTTTGTTATTGGATGAGTTCGAATTACCGGATGTATAACAGGTGGTAACTCTTGTTTTGCTTTATCCAATTTTTCTCTAGCATCAGACACATAAACATTTGTCATATTAAAATTTTTTGCATAAGAATGTTCAGCTGATAATGTACTTAAAAAATTTTTCATTGG